CTATGATGTTTTCTTGCATTATTTCATTGTGTAATTTCATTATTAATTCTCTGTTTTGTCTTACTTCTTTCTGGAACTCCCATTAATTGGATATTGGATTGTCTGGATTGATACTTTGTCTTGTTTTAGCTTTCTTCACTCTTTTATGAGCCAGTTATTTTCTGCTTTGAATTTTTTGTTGATACCATGCGATGGTTAAGCTTATATATCAACTTGGCTGGACCATTATTCTCAAGTGATTTGTGAGTTTTGTAATGATGAAATTTGGGATTTATGTAATTATTTAATCATCTTATGTTTTGTGATATAATAAGGTTACACTACATTTTTGCATGACATTCCTTTTTGCTTAATTACCTGGTCTTTGGAATCTAACCTTGCCAATAAGTAAGGAGTGGGTGTAGATGAAGGGAAGTCAGAAAGTATTGCCAGCGTTTAACAAAACATGTTAAAACATGTGTCTGCATTCAGTGGGTGGCTACAGATCATTTCTCTCATTATTATTGCACATGTTTTAGTCTCACTGTTGTTAAGTACTATTGAGTTGGTTCTGACTCATGGTGAACCTTGTATAGATTTCTGAGGCTGTAAATCTTTATGGGAATAGACAGCCTTATATTTCTCCCTTGGAATGGATGGTGGTTTTGACCTTCTGACCTTGCAGTAGTTCTGTGCTTATCCGAATTGCCACACTAGGCCCTTTAGTCATGTTGCTGTTGTTGAGTGCCGTTGAGTTAGTTCCAGCTTGTAGTGACCTTGTATAGAGTTTTCAAGAAGTAGCTGGTGGACATATTGTCTGGAGGGACCAGTCAGTGGAGGAGGATATCATTCTTGGTAAAGCGGAGAGTCAATGAAAAAGAGGAAGTCCCTCAACAAGATGGACTGACAGGATAGCAGCAACAGTAGATTCACACATAAATATTGTGAGGGTGCTGCAGAATTGGGCAGTGTTTTGTTCTGTTGTATGTTGGGTCGCTGAGTTGGAACCGACTTGATAGTGTCTGACAACAGCAATACTTAATAAATAAATGTATTTGCCTCTGTTGTTGTTACGTGTTGTCTAGTCAGTTCCAATTCATGTTGTTGTCAAGTACTGTGGAGTCGGTTTCAACTCATAGTGACCCTGCACAGGGTTTCCAAGGCTGTAAATCTTGACGGGAGCAGAAAGCATCATCTTTCTCCTGTGAAACAACTGGTAGTTTTGAACTGCTGACCTTGAGGTTAGCAGCCCAATTTGTAACCACTACGCTATCAGAGCTCCAACTCATAATCATCCTGTGTAAGGTTTCCGAGGCTTTAAATCTTTGCGAGAGCAGAAAGCCTAATTTTTCTCTTGAGGAAGAGCTGATGGACTTGAACTGCTGACCTTATGTTTTGTAATCCAGTACTTATCCTATGGAGTCACTGCACTCCCAGAGAAATGTATTTATTAAGTCTTTATTTTGGGATATAGCAATTTTTTTATTGTTCTCATTGCTCAATAACATTACTGCTACAAACTTTGATTAAAACATATACATTTATTATTTCATAGTTTCTGTGGTTTCAGAGTCCGGGCTGGCCTGTGGTTTACACGATTATATACCTGTGCGTGGTTATTTTTTTAAAATATTTTTCTAGGGCCTAGTAGACAGGCATTGATATGGATGACAGGGCAATATACAATGGGGGGGTGGAGCTTGGCAAAGGAAAGATGGGTTTGGTGGGAGACACAGGGAGGAATGCAGTGGTTGGAGTGAGTAGAAGTAAATGTGGTTAACTGTTGGTGCTAGGAGGGGATTGCAGCCATATAATGAAGCAAAGTATATGGTTTGTTGAATGTGAAACTGATGATCTGCTCTGTAAACGTTCACTCAATTCACAATAAAAAGCATAAAAACAAAACAAAACCCAGGAGGCAGCCCACGCCCCACTGCTTTCCTAGTTATCAAGGTAGATAGTTTATTTCTAATATTTCAATCTCGATGAGATGGTTAAACAAGATAACAAATTTGAAAAGAACAACAAAAACAAAACGAGTCTAGTCTGGGTCCTCTGCAAAGCTGTAGTCAAATGTAGACATGGCCAGGATTGATCCATGTCTTTCACAACAGCTCTCTGTTTCCAAAGTACCTACCAGGTGGTTCTCAAACTAGAAGGATCATCTCAGGAGTTGTCAGCAAATCAAATTCATGAGTTCTTACTCTGGTGTGCACATTTTGTGCCTGTGTGGCCTGGAATGCACTTCTCTGGACTGATTTTTGTTCTGGGATACCTGCTGCACCTCCAAGTCCTCAAAAGAGATCCCTCACTAGACTGTAGAGAGATTAAGGTGCCATTATGATATTAAGATACCAGGACTGTACTCCATAAATGCTTGTTGACCTTATGAATTCGAGGGTCCCACTAGGGAAGAGTTGCCTTTCAGCGCATGCATTTATTGGCATCATTCAGTTGCTTGTGGGCTATCAGACTGACAGCCTTGCTTATTAGACAGCCAGACACCTCCTTTGTTATTGTTAAGTGCCGTCGAGTCGATTCTGACCCATAGTGACCCTGCACAGGGTTTCCAAGGCTGTATATCTTGTCGAGAGTAGAAAGCTCATCTTTCTCCCACGAAGCGGCTGGTAGTTTCGGACTGCTGACCTTAATGTTCGCAGCCCGATTCGTAACCACTATGCTTAACAGACACCTCCTTTATGTTGGTTAAATTCTGCTCACTTGACTGACATTCTGTGTTGCCTCTCCCATCACCTGAAAGCGTGTCTACCATTTAGCAAGTGATTCCTGTCCCTCGTATCCCATATCCAAAGCACATTGATTTCTATATGTATACCTTTTTCAAAATTTTAATCTTTTTATTGGAAATTGAGTGAAGGTTTATAGAGCAGATCATCAGTTTTGCAGTTAACAAATTCTGTACTATGATTCATTTCAATGATTGCAATCCCCCTCCATGTAGCATTACTTAATCCCACTTCCTTCTTCTAGTTCTTCTTTCCGTTCCTACTTTCCCAACCCTTCTGAATTTTGTCCTTAATGAAAGGCTGACCTTTTTAATCTTGATTGGATGACCATTATTTGATGTATGTACTTCACTGGATAAGGAGCTCTGGTAGCATAGTGGTTACGAATCAGGCTGCAAGCCGCAAGGTCAGCAGTTGGAAACTACCAGCTGTTCCACGGGAGAAAGATGAGGCTTTCTGCTCCCATAAAGATTTACAGCCTTGGAAACCCTGTACAGGGTCACTATGAGTCTGAGCTGACTCCACGGCACATAACCACCACCACTACCGCTTCACTGAACGTATACCTATTTTTATCTTTTTATAAAAGTGGGATCATACAGTACTTCACCTTTTGAGCTTAGCTTATTTCACTGTCATGCCCATCCGTTCGTCCATGTTATATTTCAGACTCATCATTATTTTTCATACCTGCACCATGTTCTGTATGTACCACAGTTTGTTTATCCATTCATCCATAGATGGACACTTAAATTGTTCCATCTTTTTGTAATTGTAAATTATGCTGAAATGTACACAGTTATGCATATATCTATTGGTGGCACTGTGATTAGATCTCTAGGCTACATTCCTAGGGGTTGTTGGGTCGTATCTAATTGTATTTCTAACTTTTAAAGGAAGCACCATGCTGTTTTCCACAGTGGCTATACCATTTTCTAATCCCACTATCAGCATATGTTTGCTTTTGTGATCAGTACTGTTGTTTGCAGGGGTGAGTGATAACACTCACTGTAGGTTTATTTTTCTTTTAGTTTTTATTGTGCGTTGAGTGAAAGTAAACAGACAGGTTGATCAGCTTTACTTTCAACCAATTATATGCTTTTGTTTCATTTCAATGATTCCCCTCCCTGCAACAACAATTATCCTGCTTTCTACCCTGTGGCTTCCTTTCTACATCTTATTTTTCACAAATGAAAAAAATTTGTAGTTAAAAACTGCAGTACATCACTGTTGTTTTAATTTGCTTCTCTCTGATGTTTAATGATCACAAACATCTTTTTATGTGTTTTCTTATGATTTGTTGAAGTTTTCTATGTATATTTGAGGTTAGACTCTTATCTGATATATCATTTACAAAGATTCCCCCCCCCCCTCCAATCAGCAAGTCTCTTTTTACTCCTTTAATAAACTATTGATGAGCATAAGTACTTAATTTTCAGTTGGTTCCAATTTTCTAATTTGTTTTCTGTTGCTTATGTATTTGTAACTGTTTAGTAATCTGTAACTGAAATTAATTAGGCTTCATAGTTTTGTCCTTATATTAACTTCTAAGTACTTTATAGTTTAAGCTTTCACATTAGGTTTTTGATTCATTTGGGGTTAGTTTTCCTGTATGGTGTTAGATACGTAGCCTGTTTCATTGAATTAGTACCAGACTCTCTTGATTTCTGTGGCCTATAATATGTTAAGGTCGCTATGAGTTGGCACTGACTCGATGGCACCTAACAACAACAACAACAACAAATAATGTTTTGGAGTTCTGGTGTGGTATTGTGGGTTAATGCATTGGATTGTAAAGTTGGTTTGAACTGCAAAACCAGTAGTTCAAGCTTATCAGCTGCTCCTCGGAAATCCTGTACAGGGTCACTGTGGGTCGGAATCTACTCAAAGGCATTTAACGACGACAACAGCATATTATGTTTTGAGATTATGGAGTTTGAGGCTTCCTACTTGTTCTTCAATACTGATTTGGCTATGGGGGGCCTCTTTCCTAGCCATATAGAATTGGTAATAATACGCTTTTCCATTTCAGATAAGAATGTTGAATTTGAATTGAGATTGCATTATATTTCTCGCTTTGGATGTAATCAAAATGTTTAATAATACACTTGAATACTTAAAATCATTGAGACAAGCTTTGATGATGTCTTTGTAGTATTAATTATTCTGACTATTCAAGATTCTTTAGATTTAAAGTATTATTAGTATGAATTATTAGTATACTTCATATCATTTTGTGAATCAGATTGTATAAAATTTTCTCCCTTTTTCTAGTTGACTATATCGTGGAGTATGACTATGATGCTATACATGATGATGAATTAACTATTCGAGTTGGGGAAATAATCAAGAATGTGAAAAAACTACAGGAGGAAGGATGGCTGGAAGGGGAGCTAAATGGGAGAAGAGGAATGTTTCCTGATAATTTTGTTAAGGTGAGTACTCTTCAGTTAAGTGTCTGTAATATGGCTACCTTTTTGTCCTAATGTGCTGGTGGGTAGTAGTGTGTGTATATACATATCAGTGTGTGCCTATCTTTTGTTGAAATAAACAATAGTTTGTATTTGGGTGGCATTTTGTAGTTTAGAAAATTGCTTTGTTGCATACATTCTCATTTGAGTCCACAAGAGTTGTGCAAAGTAAATAACGCATGTGTTAGCTCCATTTAATATTGGTGATATATAGATTCAGTGGTTGCATGGTTTGCTGTTGTTGCATAGCTAAAACAGAATTTGAATTGAACTGGGACACTTGCCTCCTCACTGGTTTTTCACCTGTATCTTGTTGTGTTAATGTTCTTTTAAGAATATATTTGATCATTATTTTACAGCAGTGACCTGAGTAGTGGATACGTAAGTAATAGTTACTCTTTAGTCCCAACAAACTTCCATTTGTTTGTGTGTGTGAATCTTCTAGACTGCTTTACCATGGGGCTGAGGATGAGTTTATTATTGTTGTTTAGTGCCGTTGAGTTGGTTCTGACCCATAGTGACGCTGTATAGGGTTTCTGAAGAGTGGCTGGTGAGCTTGAACGGCCAACCTTGCAGTTCAAACTGACTTTGCAGTCAGTCCAGTGCCGCACCAGGACTCCAGGGTGAGTGTAAGACTCTTAAAAGCTAACTGTAGTTCAAAGAAGGGAAAACTGGTAAGGAGTATCTTTATATTTATATGTCACTTTTAATTGTTCTATTATCTATATGAGTTTTCTTATGGCCAGTTTCATCCCCTGGCCTCATTAACTTATTATTGTGAATGTTGGGAAGGCAGAGTTTGTCTTTTTGCTCACTTACCTAGTAGTTGTTAGCAGAATGCTTACACAGAGTGAAATATCTGTCCCCTGAGTAAATTTGTGCCTCATGTTATTAAGTACCGTGGAGTCGGTTCCGACTCATAGTGACCCTGCACAGGGTTTCCAAGGCTATAAATCTTTACGGGATTAGAATGCCTCATCTTTTCTCCTGCGGAACCGCTGGTAGTTTCGAACTACTGACCTTGAGGTTAGCAGCCCAATTCGTAACCTCTATGCTACCAGAGCTCCTTTCCACAACAGGGTAGGGCCATACAAATCAGGTATATGGTACCGTAACAAGGGAATTGGTAATTCTGTCATCCTGCTAGACTTAAAATAAGAGGCAGTTCTAAAGCAAAGTGGGTACCTTACTACCTTCACCAAGGAGAAGAGCCAGCTTGTCCTCTGAACCCAAGATTGCTGCGCTGAGAACCTCCTAGACCTGGGTGACAGAGGGAAAGAGCGCTATAATACCAGAGACAGCAGCAGAGAAATGGCAGTAGCAAAACCAGAAACTGATAGAAGAAGGCTCAGTGGGCTTCCTGGCCTCCATAGCTTGCTGATTACAGAGGGTATGCTGATCCATGGAGTGAGAGAGCTGAGTGCCTTTGGATAGGAGGCATGCTGTGGAGTGGGGTGCCTTTGGGCACTTATCTGTGAAACTTAAAAGTGTTTTGTAACACTTGACCAAGCAGGGCAGAGGTGAGGCCAAGGGACCGAGGGCCAGAGAGAGACCTGTGGGCATAACTGTAGAGAAACTGTACTGACCCAGGAATTTTATCTTGAGTTGTACCCAATCCTAGATTATAACCTGTTACTGCTCTAATAAACTCTATAATTGCGAGTAGTGTCTGTGAGTTGTATGTGACCCATATAGCAAGTTGTGGAACCCAGCGGAGAGTAGTAGAGAGTGCTGTGGTGGGGAGGATGGCTGGTGTCAGAATTGGTGAAACGTAGGAAGGAATAAGTACATTTGATTGTTCTGGGCCAAGGATGATGATTCTTCCCTCTTGTAAAGAAATGGAGTCAGAATATCTGCATTCAAACCGAGTCAAGTTCCAGCCTTGCCTTTTGCTGACAGTGGATGTTGAGAAAATCACATAATTTCTGTATCCTGTGTAGAATGACTTATTGATATTGTCATGACATTGGGCTCTCACGCTTGTTTAGGAATTGCTTTTTCATGAAAGTGGCTTTTTAGGGAAAATATAGTATAGTAATAAAACACTGATTTTAAAAAATTAAAGTTAAGAGGTATTTTTATAGTTCTCTTGGTAGTGTGCTGATGATGTGTGATAGCAATAGCAGGAATAAGCGACCTACTATGTGACTTTATATTGAAATATTTTACTTTCCTGTTTTATTATTGTTTTTAAGTGCTGACGAGTCGATTCCGACCCATAGTGACCATGTATAGGGTTTCTGAGGAGCAGCTGGTGAGCTTGAACTGCTGACCTTGAAGTTCAAACGGCTTTGCAGTCTGGTGCATTAACCTACAGCGCCACACCAGGACTCCTGTTATAGTTGAACTGATACTCTAACTTGAATTTAATGAACTGTTTGTTGATTAAAAAAAAACACAGTTTATTGTTATGCTAAGTAACACAGTGAAGCTTTATATGAGATTAAAAAATAATCACACGGTATTGGATTTGAATTGGAGACATCTGCATGAATTTGTTTAATTTAAAATACATACAGACAAATAGAAATAATTAGAAATGTGTGTAGATATGTGCATTAGTGTTCAGATGTTTGAAGCAGCTTAAAAAATTTTGTCGAAAAATGGAATTAAAAGATAATAGAATTTTTCATGAACTTTTGGAATCCCCCTCATATATTTCTTAGTCCTTTCCGTTGAGAGGGTGTAGAAACAGTGGTATGAGCATATCTAGTGTCTAGATACTGGTTTCTAAATATCATTATCCAGTAAAACCAAGTGGTCCTTAGAAAAATGGATGATTTTAGTGCTGGGGCAAGAGAGATTTACAAGATGATCCTACAGTTTCTTGTAATGTCAGATAGTAAAGAAGTGTTAAACAACAACAACAACAGCAAAAACAAATGAAAACCCAAAGGCTGGGACCATGCCAAATGGGAATGGGAGCCAACCAGATACAACTCCCTTGGTCCAAAGCTGGCATAATTTAAGCAACAAAATACATAATGTTGTTGTTAAGTGCCGTCAAGTTGGTTCTGACTCATACAAGATGCTTCTAGAGCATAATTTTGTTCCTGAGTAGAAGTTAGGAATCTTCACTTCTTGAGGTTACTCATAGGAATTGAATTTTGTGTGTATATGTTTGCAGATACATACGTGCTGCTGTTGTTAGGTGTCATAGAGTCGGTTTCAATCCATAGCAACCCTATGTATAACAGTTAATTACACTGTGTTTAATTATACTGTTGGGTCCTGTGCCCTCCTCACGACTGCTGCTACGGTTGAGCCCACTGTTAACTGCTACTGTGCCAGTCCATCTTGTTGGTGGTCTCCATCTTTTTTGCTGTCCCTTCACTCCACCAAGCATGATGTGCTTCCCCGGGGACTGCTCCCTCCTGACATTATGTCCGAAGTATGAGAGACAAAGTCTGGCCATCTTGGCTGTCACGGAGCATTCCAGTTATACTTCTTCCAACACAGATTTATTTGTTCTTCTGACATTCCATGGTACCTTTAATATTCATCTCCAACACTGTAACTCAAATGTATCCATTCTTCTACGATCTTCCTTATTCATTGGCCAACTTTCACATGCACATGAAGCTATTGAAAATACCATAGCTTGGGTCAAGTGCACCTTACTCCTCAAACTGACGTCTTTAGTCTTGAACACATTAAAGAGATCTTATGCAGCAGATTTGCCTAATGTAATATGTCATTTGGTTTCTTGACTGCTCCAAGCAGAATTCTTTGACAACTTCAATAGTTATTCCATTTAAATAAATGATGTTATTTATTTGCTCAAGTGGTGAGCAATTTTTTTTTTTTCTTTACATTAAATTGAAACTCCAAGACCTAAAGGCTATGGTTTTTGACCTTTCTCTGTAAGTATTTTTAAGTTCTGTTCCCTTTTGGTAAACAAGATTGTATTATCTGCATATTGAAGGTTGTTAATGAATCTTCCTCCAATCCTCATGCTACATTCTTCTTCATATAATCCAGATTCTCTGATTATTTGCTCAGCATACAGATTGAATAAGTACGGTGAAAGATTACAACACGTGCACATACCTTTTTAAATTTTAAACCATTTGATGCCCCCTTGTTCTGTTGGAATGACTTGAATCTTGGTCTTTGCACAGTTTCCTCATGAACACAATTAAATCTTCTGGATACTCTTTTCTCCGCAGTGGTGTCCATAGCTTGTCATGATGCACACAGTTTAAAGCCTTTCATAGTCAGTAAAGCACAGGTAAACATCTTTCTGGTATTGTCAGCTCTTGACCAAGATTAATCTGATGTCAGCAGTGATATCCATTGCTCCACATCCTCTTCTGCAGTCCAGCTTGAACCGCTGGTTGTTCCCTGTCGATGTATTGTTGCAGACATTTTAAAATGATCTTTAGCAAAATTTTACTTGTGTGTATTATTAATAATATTGTAGACAATTTCTGCGTTCTGTTGGATCACCTCTCTTTGGAATGATATGGATCTCTTCCAGTCATTTGGCCAGGTAGCTGTCTTCCAAATTTCCTGGCATAGATGAGTGACTGCCTCCAGTATATCATTGCAAATACTTTCTTGAACAAAATAAAATAAGATTATAAACATGGATTTCCTTAGATGGAATAAATAGAACTCTAACTGGTAGCGTAGTGGTTACAAATCAGGCTGTTAACCTGAGGTTCAGCAGTTTGAAACTATCAGCTATTCCTCAGGAGAAGAAGAGGCTTTCTGCTCTCGTAAAGATTTACAGCCTCAGAAACCCTATACAAGGGCATTATGAGTTGGAACTGACTCCACGACACACAACTACCACCACCATCATATCTGTGGAAAGAGATGATGGAAAAGCTCCACATCATCAGGTAAAACAAGGCCAGGGGCAGACTGTGGAACAGACCATCAATTGCTCATTTGCAAGTTTAGGCTGAAGCTGAAGAAAATTAAGAGACGTCCATGAGAGCCAAAATATGACCATGATC